TCGCAGAAACATAACTTGCTAACCGAGTGTCAGCACGGTTTTCGAAAAAGACGGTCTACAGAAAGTGCATTAAATATACAAAAGGATCTTATTCTTCAGAACATTGAAAAAAAGCTTCTAACTTTAGGGTTATACTTAGACTTTAGCAAAGCATTTGATAGAGTCAACCACCAACTGTTGCTTACGAAACTAGAAAGATATGGCTTCTGAGGAATAACCCTTGAACTTATCCGATCTTATTTAAAAAGTCGACATCAATTTGTTGAATTTAATGAAAATAGGTCACAAACGAAACCTCTAAAAGCGGGTGTGCCTCAAGGTAGCATCCTTGGCCCGATATTTTTTTTTATTACATTAATGGCATCATAGAAATTAGTGATATGTGTAAGGTTGTCGCTTATGCAGATGACTGCTCAATTTTCTTTACAGGAAAAGACTTAGAAGAAACAATGCCTATAGCTAGCACTGTCTGTAACCAAATTCAACGCTGGTCAAAGGCAAACTTCTTGATTCTTAATGAAGCCAAAGCAAAATGTGTCATTTTTCGTGCCCAAGGAAGTTCTACTACATTATTAGATAACATTGTTCTGGGTCCGTATAAAGTTACCATTACGTCCTCTATGAAAACACTCGGAGTTATATTCACCGAGCATATGTCCTGGAATGTTGACAATGTGTGCGCGAAAGTGCGAAAAGTTATTGGTATTTTAAATCGCTATCGAAATACATTGCCCTATAAAATTAGGCGCCTCACTTATCATGCTCTCTTTCACTCACACCTCACTTATTGCTCACTCATATGGGGAAACACCACCGCACAAAATATTCAGAAGATGGAAACACTTCAAAAGAAGACAGTTCGAGCTATTGCGAATGTTTCTTTTTCCGAACATACGCAAGAACTTTTTCGGCAAATTAAAATAATAAAAGCTGGTGATATTTGGAAACTGAAAACTCTACAATGCTACAAGAGTGCTATGCTAGGAAAGCTAGATTCATTTTTAACCCTCGCTGATCTACAAGAAAACAAAAGTACATATCCATTTCGCCGTCAGGCCCCATGGCAAATTCCTTTTTCTCGCACATATTATGGACAACAGCACCTTTGTCATACACTGCCTTTCCTACTTAATCATTTCAACAAAGTTTTGATGTGTTACCGCTAAACAAAACTAAAATGTTGGACATATTCCTGTAACACCTCATTAACATAGGATTAAAAAAAATTCCCACCAGTTGTTGATAGCATGCTGCTGTTATAGTAATTTTCTATGTTATAAAAAAAAAGTGTTTCTCAGTTGCACTTTGTAGTTGCTGTATAGTTGTTTTTAATTTATACATTTCTCTTCCTTCATCGCAATGTTTATTTTATATTCAGTTGAAATGTTATTATTGCTTTAATGCTTTATACTTTGTAACATGCTTTCTTCTATTGTTTTGAAACAAACTTCACCACTGTCTGCCTGGGGGACCGGAGATTTGTCAAGCCGAAGAACTATCGGCTTTTTCTCCAGTTCTCCCTTTTTCACCTTTGTATGAAATGGTGAAAATAAAAGCTTTTGATTTGAAAGAACTAGCAGTAACCCAGATGACACCCCACCAGTAATGATAGAAGAAATCAGAAAAGCCTTGGAAAGCATGCAAAGAGGCAAAGCTGCAGGTGAGAATCGGGTAACATCAGATCTGCTGAAAGATGGAGGACAGACTGTGTTAGAAAAACTATCCAGCCTGTTAACTAGGTGTTTCCTGATGGGAAGAGTACCAAAGTCTTGGAAGAACGCTAACATCATCTTAATACATAAGAAAGGAGATGACAAGGACTTGAAGAATTACAGGCCGATCAGCTTGCTTTCCATAGTATACAAGCTATTTACAAAGATACTTGCTAACAGAGTTAAGAAAACATTAGAATTCAATCAACCAAAGAAACAAGCAGGATTTCAAGCAGGCTACTCAGCAATCGATCACATTCATACTATCAATCAGGCTCAGAATATAGCCAACCACTATACATAGCCTTAACAGATTACAAGAAGGTGTTTGATTCAGTAGAAATATCAGCAGTCATGCAGACACTGCGGAATTAGGGCGTGGATGAAGCATATATAAACATCCTGGAAGAAATCTACAGGAGATTAACTGCTACCATAGTGCTTCATAAAGAAAGTAACATAATACTAATCAAGAAGGCTGTAAGGTAAGGGGATACAATCTCCTCAATGCTATTTACTGCGTGCTTACAGGAGGTTTTCAGAGGCCTAAAATGGGAACAGTTGGGGATAAGAGTTAATGAAAAGTACCTTAGTAAGCTGAGCTTTGCCAATGACATTGCATTGCTGAGTAACTCAGAGGAGGAATCGCAACTCATGATTACGGAGTTAGACAGGGAGAGCAGGAAGGTGGATCTTAAAATTAATCTGCAGTAAAACGAAAGTAATATACAACAAACTCGAAAGAGAGCAGCACTTCGAGATATGTAATAGTGCAATTCAAGTTGTAAAAAACTATGTCTACTTAGGGCAGGTAATAACCGCAGAGCCGAACCACGAGGTTGCAGTAACTAGATGAATAAGAATGGGGTGGAGCACAATCGGCAAGCACTCTCGAATTATGACAGGTAGATTGCCACTATTCCTCAAGTGGAAGGTATATAACGGTTGTATCTTGCCGATACTTAGATACGGAGCAGAAACCTAGAGACTTACTGAGCGGGTTTAGCTTAAATTGAGGACGACGCAGCGAGCGATGGAAAGTAAAATGGTAGGTGTAACTTTAAGAAACAAGAAGAGAGCATAGTGGCTTAGGGAAAAAATGGGGGTTAAGGATATCATAGTTGAAATCAAGAAGGAATGGACATAGACCGGGTATGTAGCACGTAGACAGGATAATTGCTGGTCATTAAGGGTAATTAACCGGATTTCCAGAGAAGGCAAGCAGGTTAGGGGAGACATAAGACTAGGTGGGCAGATGAGATTAAGAAGTTTTTGCGGGTATAAATTGGCAGCAGCAAGCACAGCACTGAGTTAACTGGTGGAACATGGGAGAGGCCTTTGTCCTGCAGTGGACGTAGTCAGGCTGATGATGATGAAATCAGTACAACAGACAATTAGGCCACCGAAAGCACGGGGAACTCTAACTGTTGTCTTGTGTAGCAATTGTGGTGTAAATTGAAATTAAATTGGACAACAAATCGCCCTTTTAATCATTGGGGTTCTAACACACAACCTTCAAATTGCACACACGATGCTCTACAAAGTGAACTACCATGAAAGATGCTTCCCCTTGCTGGTTGTTTCTGTGCCGTAGTTATACCCGTAGTATACCCGTAGTATACACAACCCGTAGTATACCCGTAGTATACGGCCGTATACGGCCGTAGACATCTTTCTGTCATAAACTTTGCAAGTTCATAGTGCACGGTTGTCACAAAAAAGCTCCACATTCTGAGTTAGGACTGCGATTCCTCTTCTCTGATAGGTCTCGCACTGTTTGCGCTGTATTATTCACACAGGTTACACACGCTTGTAAAGCTTACACTTTATGTAAAACAGGGCCCACTTTTTTTATCTTTTTCTCACAGTAGTTGGTGTTTTCTTCTTTATGCAAACAAATACAGTTAGTGATCACTTGAATTAGGTTTTCAGGCTCTCAGTGTTTGCCCTCACTGTTCGTTGTTTTAATGTGCCTAAGCAGAACCATGATTTCAAGCTTTCGCTAGGACTTGTACCCAATTTTTTTTTTTTTTCGTAGCAGTATTCAATTGAGCAGTTTGCAAGACATGAGCTTTGCAAAAAAGCTGAATACTCGCTAAGCCAAGAGATATAGCCTTTAATTGCACCTTTCAGCCTCTAGTAGCTTTTGAAACCTACAGTGTACCGCTAAAGTAGAAGTATTATGACAACGAAACAGAAATTCACGTTTCCCATAGAGACTATATGCCACAAAATTTTGTCGTCAATTGTACATTGCATCGTGGCTGGCTGCTTGTGCCCATTATGATAAACCTGAAAGAAGTGAAGTGACTGAACCATTTCACAAAGGCTCATCAAAGACAGACATGAGAGTCAACAAGTCATGCACATCCCCATAAATTTAGGTAATCATGAAATTTGTCACAATGGAGACAAATCTTCTCTCTGAAGCTCTGCCAAAAGCATGCGTTGCACAACGGCTTCATCTCCTCACCTATCGGCAGACTCTCCACAGGAGTGCTTTTGTGTGGGAAAGTTGGTGCGACATTTGCGAGACAAATCAGCACGAAGGACAATGTACAACGGGACTAGCACTGCTCCTGTTCTACTGTGTCTTTCATATCATCTTTCGTGCCAATTTATTTCGCAAATCTTCACAGGAGGTTTTACCTTGAACATCTCCAATGCAAACAGAAAGAATTCTTGCTGAAAAGATGAGGCACTCCTCCTGACAGGGAGAAACATGCCCTTCAGCGCACAGCTGGGCGACATCCACGCTCGTGTGAAAAGGAATCAGGTAAAGATTTCTGATAGCCCTAAATAACAAATATTTGTCCCACAAGGATCATATAGGCATACGAGACTTTTTCATAAAATCTAGAACTGTCCAAGAAGGTCCGGGCTGGCTGGTGATCCCAATCAGAAGTTCCTTCCTACCGCACATAAAGAGAGAGCATCGGCAGCATCAGGTGTACCTGGGAAGCATTGGCTGGTGTCTAGTAGTTTGAATAGGGCACGATTTCCTGACTAGATAAAAAAAGAATACTGACGAGTCCGATGCTGTGTTCAAGTATAGGTGACTTGAAGCACGCTAGAGTTGGTAAAGCAGCGCCTGTGACCGGTTCAGCATGTCTCACTGTAGAAACAGTTGAGGTATTAACTTCTGAGGCTTTCCACGGCCAAAACACGGTGTAAATGGCAGACATGCTGCCAAGAAAGACTCTGAATTCGTTTTTGACCACGTGAAGAAGGTACACCTTGGTAAACAAGTGTTCTTAGATTTTACCGCCATCAAATGCACCCTTCATGGCCAGAAATCAATAACACAAAATTTAATGCATGTCGATTAAACCGAATACACAAGTGGTGCATGCGCAAAAAATTATGACACATGTGAATACCTTTATTTTGTATGAAATATGTACGCCAGGATGGCGCATGCCTAGTTGCACGTACGCATCGGCCAAATTTGTCTATGAGGAAATCAATGTTCCCTCGTCACAGCAACACTAAGAGATAGTGCATTGCGGTGCCAGGGAGTGGGCGTTCAAATAGGATGCACTACCACTGCACACACCTTCTCATCACAGTCAGCTGGGCTCGTTGCGACAGATAACAGATATCCTCCTTGACTTGTGCACGGGAGTGGACCTGAAAACAGAATTCTGGTTGGCCAGGATCTCATGGGTGTAGTCGTACCTCGCTACTCCTCTGTTGGACAAAAAAAAAGAAGACAAAAAGATAAACAAACAACTCTAAAAAGGTTTCGTTCAAGTGTAAGACAAATAAGTTAGTACATGCAGACAGATGTGATGCCATATTTTGATTCCCATCTCAATGGAGAAATATCTCACGAGTGTGCTCCGACAGGCTGATGTCGAGGAACTGAGGAACTTGTTCACTCATTACGAAGCGTGGAAGCCAACTGATGCAACATACACACGCGTACAGTAACCGTCCATACTGACGACTTCCATCTGTTGAGAGACACTACTTTCTTTATCAATGCCTCATCAAATGCATCACATAAAATAACTTCGTAGATTGAATTTTTACCAAATGTTGCTAGGAGCAAACCAATCGTGTGATCTCTTGAAATCATAGCTCCCACGAGATATGAGTGAAAAATTGTCCTCTTGGTGCCCCCCAACGTAAGTCGACAAATAGGAAACTATGTTTATGATGGCTCTGACCTTATCAAGGAGTGACAAAATCTCCACATACCTCATTATGTATAGCGATCGTCTCCTGAGAAATATTTTAACCCACTTGTCTGGCATTTTTTCGTGAACCAGCTTCATGATGCTCGACGATAGGAGAGACAGCCCGGCTATTGTGTCACCGCAGAACTGGAAATAAAAATAATTCGTAATAAAATCTCTTTATGGGTGGAATACAAGCAAAACTTGTGTGCCAACATTACCGAGAATGTCTCACTAAAGAAACATACAAGGTTTTCGTATATGCAACAGGCCATGAACCAAAGCGAGCAGATTTAATGAACTGTGCGACGTGCACGACGCACACAGGACAGAATATTGAGCTAAGAGGAAATTCAAAGTGACGAGAAGTCACCAAACAAGAAACGTCACTGGAGCAAATGTTTTGACAAGGGTGCTGTGAATACAAGTCTTAAAATGGTTCCAGTTACATAAACTTCAGGTACAAAAAACAAATGCCCCTTGTTAAAATGGGTAGTTACAAAAAATTTTCATTTGTCATCTATTTGGGTCAAATGAAAGGCCAAGCCCTCAACAACATAGAACATGCACTGGCAGGGGAAAGTGCACCCTGAAAAATTCTTTACGATAAGATTTTCGAAGCTAGTTTTAGTTCATATTATACCCTGAAGTTGCACCATGGTATGAGCTTCTCACTCGAAATATTGTGATGTTTTCACGACCATTCCGCTCCGGGGCTCTATTGTGAAGTACAGGCGGCCATTTTAAATGTTTCGGTACTTGACGTCATCACTAGCCACACTGGTGCATACAGGGTCAATCATAGGTTAGTGTCAATCACTGCAGTCTCAAACTGTCAATATCATAATAAAATATATCATCACAATTCGCTGAGTAGCCCAAAGCCATCTCTGTATTCACTGGATTTGTACGGCGGAGTGAACTCTGCTTTGGAAATTGATGTCGCTGCTCCTTGAACGATTGATTTGGGGGGTTTAGCGTCCCAAAACCACCATATGATTATGAGAGACGCCGTAGTGGAGGGCTCCGGAAATTTTGACCACCTGGGGTTCTTTAACGTGCACCCAAATTTGAGCACACGGGCCTCGACATTTCCGCCTCCACCGGAAATGCAGCCGCCGCAGCCGGGATTTGAACCCGCGACCTGCGGGTCAGCAGCCGAGTACTGCTCCTTGAACGAGGGCTCCTCGTATGGATACTCATTAGGTTTAATGCTGAGAAGTGAGCCACGCTCAAAGATGTGAGCACCCATGAATTGCCTCACCCGAACGCTGTCCACGTGCGGTTTGATGTGGCCGTCTTCGAGAAGGTCGAGACAATGAACGTGCTGTATCTGGTTCACTTCGGGAGTGAACGCGAGCGCCCTGATTCGTCCCAATATCGCCTCACACGGCGGGGACCAAGTTGTACGCTCAATCTCCCGGTAACCGTGAATCGCCTGCGAATGCAAAAAAAAGGTGTCGCAATGAACGAACCACGTTAACTATCACATAATGCTACGACAAACATTCACATCCAGCAAAGAGCCTGCTGCTACGAAATGCAACTCGTGAATGCATGAAAACGGGGTGAATACGAAGTAAATGTAACAGCAAGAACTACAGCGCGAGTTACGTAAGCTCTTCATTTTTAATCATGGTTTCTGGCACAATACATTCTGCAGTGTCATACCAATGGGACAGTCGGCACATAAGCAGGCGGAGTCCGCATCCTTCGAAAACGAACAGCCATCCCTTCATTTCAACGGCTCCTAGGTGGCTTCCACTAAAGTCTAAGCAACTTTGTTGTATAAAACAATACGACAATTAGAAGAAGACAATTTAGCAAGAATAATGCTTTGCTTATGTTCCCAGCGCTAGCTTAGAACGACCCAGAAAGCAAAATACACTGCACTTCGAGTCGCGGTAAGCGCGATCGATGCCGCACTTCGCTGGGAACGAATAAAATGGATCGACTAGGCGACAGTCTTACTAACATCGTCCCAGTGGCTGCTCTCGTATCGCAGCCTCTTGTACTGCGGCTCGATTTCGGCGAACAGCGTGCTCTCTTCTTCGGGCGTCACAAAATCGTCGAAGACGGTCATGCTCTGGGCCACCTCGGCGAGTGTGTTCGCGTCAGATCCTTCGAAGTGAGCGCTCACATATTCCTCCGTCAGCACTGCCCGTCCTTTGGACGCGTTGGCAACGTCTATCTGCGCCGAACATAGCCACCGCGTTGGTTTGAACGTATTCGATAATAGGTTACAGCGCATTTTTGACGCCGGCAGAACAAGACGGGTCACCGCGAAGGCGGCCATTTTGTATCTGCGTCTTCTCGCGTGTACGCATTACTTTCAGTTTCGGTTTCGTTTGTTTTCAGAATTTTTATTACAGCTAGTGGCGCGACAAATAACTCGCAGATTGGCGTAGTGATTCTTGAATCGTATCTTTATGACTTAAACGCATATATAAGCTAGTAATACCGCGCCTTGTGATTGGCACAAAACATTCTAAATATAATGGTGCAGCGGTAGGTTCGGTGTTTATTGTCGCGTCGCCAGCATCGCCTCTGGAAGTCCGTTGGTCCTGGTTCGACCTGGTTCGACGCGCCATAACCGTCTCTGTGCCCTCTTAACGTTCAATTACGGCGAAAAGTTGGTAGCCGAGCACTTCGAAACGCTGCATTCGCCTACCGCACTTACCATTAAACCACGCTTCACTTCAGGTAAGTCACATGCCCCGGACTTGTCGCCAAAACGAAACTTTCATGGCGCGTGCCCACCTGCCATGTTTGAACCTTTCTTCAACAGGTCGCCGGAACGAGCGCGATGTCTTCGCACTTTTCTCCCCGCCAGGACACCGAAAGTGCCGCGAGTCGCAACGACAACGCGCCAAGGATGTCCTTGCTGGCGCAGTTCGATGATTTCTGTCGCCGGGTTGCTGACGACGACGACGAAGTACTGAGCAGTGAGTATGCCGCATTGTGTGCAATATGGCGCCCGAGGCATTAGATGTTTGGGTATGCCTAAGTTTGTAGCGAATAAAGTTCTTTACCATAAAACATATCTGCCTTTTCGGCAAACCAGGTTTCGTATATTAACTGTCTAAACATTCCTAAACATCTATGCCTCGGACACTGCTCGATGTATTCATAAGCGAGCCTTCCGTATTATCATTATTTTTTTCTCTCTTTCGTTGGTAGTGGTCTCCACTACATCGTCCGCAAATAGTTTACGCGCAAAAGCTACTGGAGCCGTTAGAATTAAAACACCGTGATCTAAGTTTCCCGAAGGTACTAAATTAATCCTAGGAACAGTTGGAATTTGATATATATTTACGAAAAATGCGACACAGTATTGCCGATTAGGTACCTAAATAGGTTCCTGGAATAGTGGTTCAAGGATTAACCTTGGACAAGTTTTAACGTGGTAGCGTTAAAAAGCTTGTTTCGCGGAAATTGCGGCAGCGGTGTCGCGTCGTTGGTTGTGAGTGAAAAACCATCATATACGTGACCGAGAAATCTGGAATGATGCAAATAAAATTAATGAATTATAAAAAAAAACCTGGAGCAGAGTAGGGAGCAAACCAGGGTTTGAGTCCAAGTGGGGACTGAACTATGTTCTACCGCACATACTGTGACTCCTCTGCTTGTGAAAACAGTGAAAACAACTTCCTCTGTTTCGAAATAGCAACTTTCATGCTTCAAAAACTAACACGTCCTGCATATATGCTTCACAATGCAACATGAAGTATTGTAGTAATAATGTGGGGTACAAGCTTCCATTGCCAACGTGCGTCAAAATATGTGATTATCATAATGGTTCTATGGCTGAAAGCCGGTACCCCACTAGAAAAGGGACACACGCTACTGTGCCTCTTCCCTTATGGCCACGTAGTGGGTGCATAGCGAGTTCGAAAAGGTTTAGTGCACTAAGTCTTTGAAGTACGCACTAGGAAAAGGATGTCGCTATTGTGTTCAACTCCTAAAAGTGAAGCTTTATAGGGTCTCCTAATTTTTGTTATAAGCCACATACGATTCCGTTACTAGTGAGAAAGCACATCTATTCAACAGTATAAAATTGGTCTTTTCCACTCCGACTGCCCGATTTTATGCCCATATTTCAGGATGAATTGGTGGCAGTTATTCTGATCATACATTAACTCCAGACATATATTTCTTCGGTGGTTATACTGGCTGATTCCTTGTCTGTTTGGACTGCCCTGGCAGTACCAAAGTCATCGTGCTGTTTATCAGAATTTAATACATATATTATCAATCTTGCAGATTTTGTTCATTTGGTCTGGGTGCCAGGTCACACTCTTCTAACATGAAATGAAGGGGTGGACACACTGGTGGCAGCATCAACTCTGTGCCCAGTCTTGAAGATTCCAAGACTTTGCTAGATACTATCGATATACCATCCATAGTATCGAGATACTGTCGCGTGATTTTGAAATTTTTGTTTAAGACTGAAACATACCAGCTCTTCTGTACTAAATAATGCAGGTTTTCAGCACCATAAGTTTCAGTAACTTAGCTCATGTTGTCAAACAAGACGATTGAAGTGACAATTACTAAATTGTGATGCAGAATTACACCTCTCAATTTTTCTTTGTGCAGACCTACTTTCCTTCCCCTCAATGCTATTATTGTAATCAAGCAGAAACCCTATAGCTCTTTTTCACAGAATGTTGCGGCTATCAAAATTTACGGCAAAAATTTCTGGCAACACCTTTGTGAAAACACAGGCTTAGGCTTCCTGGAATGCTATTATTCTCCCTAAGGGCCTCGGCACTGGGTCATAGCAACAGGGACATATATTAGGCGTTATTTAAGCCCCGCCGCGGTGGTCTAGTGGCTAAGGTACTCGGCTGCTGACCCGCAGGTCGCAGGTTCAAATCCCGGCTGCGGCGGCTGCATTTCTGATGGAGGCGGAAATGTTGTAGGCCCGTGTGCTCAGATTTGGGTGCACGTTAAAGAACCCCAGGTGGTCAAAATTTCCGGAGCCCTCCACTACGGCGTCTCTCATAATCATATGGTGGTTTTGGGACGTTAAACCCCACATATTAATCAATAAATTAGATGTTGTTTAACTATATATAAAAATCTGAGTGATTACCTTGTTAATATCACAAGTATATACTCATTACGTTATTTTTTCAATAATTTATTTCATGTATTTTATCCATTTTTTGTAGCTTTTTTTAAATTTTTTGTTTAGTTTTTGTTTAGCAAGTGAAATACGATAAACAAATAAGTTTTCTTGTACATAAAAAAAAGTTGTTTTTATCCTTCCCCCCCCCCCCCCCTTTTTTTTTCTTTTCTCCAAAATTCCACTGCCTCACAATGGAGCCACTTCTCTAGGACCCAACCAACCAAAACCCACCCATGCGTACTCTTATGTCACTGTTCGATACGCTTATATATGCTCGTGCGTCGCTCGTTGATTGAAGTTGCATTGCTTATTCCTTAACCTCGTGAGTGGCAGTCTTTATCACATTTTTGGATGCATAGTGTCCGATGCATAGTGTACAGTGATGCCACCGCGGCCGCCATCTCCGGGTATCAGCTGGTTGAGACTCTGCATGAATTAACTCTAACTCGAATGTGGGGAGCAAGAAACTGTGGCTTCAGACTAGTGCCAATACAAAATATCATGGTGGCTGCCATGTTTGGGTTCCCAGTACCGAGAACACTATTTACAGCGGGGGAAGTGCCAGCAGCGACCAGGGAGGTTTAGAGCCTCCTAAAATGTTTCGCATTATCCACTGCTGTAACATGAAAAATAAAAAAGCAGAACGCTACCTTCTCCTGCTCCCCTAAAGGAACTTGGTTGTCGTCGCCCCCACTTCCCCCTAGTAAAAGAAATCCTGGCACCCACCCATGGCTCATAGCATTTACAATGTTGGCCTTTCTCCCCCACTTCTCTCTGCAGCCATAGTGGAATTCGTGAGGAACCAGGAAGCGTGCAGGCAGCGTTGGGAAGCAGCGGAACAGTGCTGCAGCAGACTGGCAGAAGCGAATGAGTCCCAGGCTCTGGTGAACTCGGAGCTAGAAGCAAAGCTGCGATACACGAGGTACGGTGAAACGCTTCTATTGGTGCTTGCTGCCATTTTGAAATGGCAAAGTTTTGACAACCGATCAGGAAACTTATCACGTTTGCAAGCTGTTTTGACGCACGGCTGCAAAGGCCGTTTATTACAAAAAGTGTGCTGTACTAGGAGCTTTTTGTACATTGTTGGAAGGGAGTCAAATGGTGCTTCAGAAAGGTTGCAGTAGAGTCAACAATGTCCTCTGTTAAACTCACATACGTCTTTCTGAATCGCTGTTTGATTCCATTTTTAAATTAATAATAAAGTATTCCAGGCATTTGTGGCACAATCATTTGTATCATCAAGATACAAGTTGACTGGCTAGAATGGGCCTACAGCAGGCGTTTTACGTAGAATCGCAGCAGCATGAAAATGAAGCGTGGTGTTCAAGATTAGGTACTTCTCTTATCTCCCACGCATGCATGCTGTATGTCACATGTAACACTACGTAGTAAATATACTAGAAGCAGTTCTTAGTTTTAAGCACCTTCTAATAGACCAGCAGATTATGCAAGAGAGTTTATTAGAAGTTTGGTTTTAGGAGAATGTTTGTCGGGTTGAATGTCTTGTATAGGTTTTGTGTAAGATTACGTTCTTTTGCTGCAGTGACATCAGACAGATGGGAACCTGTATCAAGGACTGCTTGTGTGGAAACGCTGTGGTCGTTTTTAACCCTTTGATCTATTCACTGGATGCACTCACTTGCTGAGGTAGTTTCTTAGATCAGCTGTTGTGGCTGAGGGAAAAAACAGCATTTTCTGTTCGCGAGCTTACCGGGAGTGATTCAGTGTCAATAGTACGACTGCGTCTTGATCAAACTTTTTCATATTTTCTTATTGTCGAGAGTAAGTTGTTCCATGTCTTATAGATTAAAGTGAATGATATATGAGTAAAAGTCTTTCTATCTAGGCTCTTTAGTCACTGTATTAGGCCACTTAATACATCATACTAGTTGTTGTGGTGGTGTAACATCTATGGTGTTATGTTAATAAGCTCTAGACTGTGGGTTCAACACCCAGCCACAGCGGCCAGATTTCAATGGATGCGAAATGCAATGAACACTAGTGGGTTTAGATTTAGATGCACTTTAGAGAGCCTCGGTTAGTCATAACTTAATGCGTAATCCTCTACTATGCTCTTCTTATCGATATGGTGGTTTTACTCATAAAACCTTATTACGTTAACCCATCATGCTTAGAAAGATAGTGGTAATACGAGATGCACTAGCAAGAGGGCAGAGATTTTTCCCGCATTTAAGAGCACCTCGCTACTTGGCTTAAATTTCACACTTAAAGAGTCTGCCCTAAAAGTGCATATCAAAATCTACCGAGTGGGAACTCAATAGTTAGCTAACTAAAGATTCGAATCTCATACACATGTGCAATATTTTCAACTGTCTACTTGTGGTGGTTTAGATATTATTTTATTATGATGGTCACTTATTATTTTTTTTTTCAATCAATTAAGTCTCGGAGTTTGCTGTTTGCACGCTCTTACAGAAAATGCAAGACAGTTAAAATTTGCAACGGAACAATGCAGAAGCATATTCCAATCAGTGGCATAGCCAAGGGATGGCACACTGGTGTCTTGCCACCTCCGAAATTTTTTTTTCGCTGTTGCATACAGGGCACAAAAAGACCACTTGTTCAATTTCCGTCCCGCCCCCCCTCTGATGGAAGTTTCTGGCTATGTCCATGTTCTTCCTTTTAAATAGCTATTGCATCATGAGGTTGTAGCTTCGTTATGATTCAACGATTCTGAGACATTCAAACAGTAATACATTCTACACTAGTTGCATTAGGCACTGAAGCCAGTAACAATGACTATAAGGAAACCAGTCATGACCACTCTTTCTTAACTAAACTAGTAGGTCAATACAGCACAGCTCATTTCAGCTGAAACACATTGGTTCTGATATAATAGTTTATTGCAGAAAAAGTGGATTTTGATGTTCACAGTATTGAATGTCACTATTCCCTACAAGGCAAATCGTGTGCTGTGTTGTGGTAGTATTATGATGACAATGCTAACCCCGTTTGCCTTTCAACCTTTACATCTCTAAGTGTTAGATATTTCTTAGGTTCAACATTAATTGCTTGGCCTTTTTTTAATTCCCAGAGATGTGCTCGAAAGGGAGGTTCAAAGAAGGCTGAAATGCGAAGCTCACTTGAGAGCTCTGGTGAGTTGACGTGCATCACTGAATTGATAATAAGACCCTATCACTACAATAGTAATCGGGATATACAGTTGAAACTCTAATCAGCGAAGTGGATGACGACGGGCACTTTGTTTCATCAAATTCAAAAGTTTGTGAAGTCGAGAAAGGAGTTTTACAGTCGTTCAATCAAAAACTGTGAAGTAGCAATGCACAATAGCTTTTAACCATTTTGCACGAGACAAACAAGGACGAAAAGAGCAGAATGTGTAAACAAACGAGCACGGTTCATACTCCAGTCTTCATCCTTGTTCGTCTCGTGCAAAGTGACTAAAAGATGAATTCGTTCCAAACTAGGCCGGCAAGCAGCTTTGCCCCAATAGCTACCATGCCATTGTTCTAGCCGCCGAACCGCACCTGGTCATACGGAAAGCTCTCGAGGGTAGCCCATACAAGGAGCCCCCTATGTTCTGGCAAGGCATGTCACGGTGATGTAAGACTACAACGGGATACAGATATGTAAAAACGCAGCATGCAGGTAGTTATGGTAAGGTCAAACTGAGTGAGGAAGTTGCAAGGAGACTTTCGATGCTGTATGTATCTTAAACCGGAGAATAAGGAAACTATTGACCACTGCCCTTAGCGTGCCTTTGCAAGTAAGGGCGCCGCCAACTGCAGAGTTCATTGTGCTGTGCCTACACTTGGCGTGCAGCATTGTCAAAATAAAACTAGGGATTTAATCGGAGCGGATGCTCTATATAAAAAAAAAATAATAATCTGGTCTGTACCAAAATTAGATGAAGATCTCATCTTTTTGACTCCGTTATTTTAGCAGAGCATTTGGTTTTCAAGTTCGTCAACTTGGATTGATGACAAGGTCGAACCCTGTGGGCAGCTGCCAGTGAACAGAAACTGAAGTTCTTTCATCATATCATAAATGTAGGTTTTATTAGATCGAGTTTCAAGTGTATCGAATTACTCATTATATCAAACGGTAGTGACAAAACCTTTAAAGTCCCATAACTGTGCTGCACGTACATCGCACACCGGTTCTCTTCCTCGTGTCATTATCAAACTGTTGCGCCGCTCTGTGCCCCTGCAAGTGCATTTACCCTGACCGACCCATGATCACTAGCATAGTAAAAAAATTGGCCCGTATCTGCATGTTACACTGCAAATGTCGTCGAAAAATGATAGTCTTGCATCTGGAGAGTGAACAAAACGTTTGTTTGATGTTCTGCGCAAGAAAATCGCTGAATGGTATTCTGGAGGTGCTACGTTAGAGTGCCTCGAGCGCGCAGCGGAGGCAAACGAATGCATCAAGTCACAACACACATGAGACATGAGCGCTATCTGGCAGTTATCTTGGGAAATGAAGAGCACGCGCCCTGCGCGCCCGTCTCGGAAGTGAAAAGGTGTAGAACGCAAGGCGACTGGTAGATGCCACCACCGTGTCATCTTAGCAAAGCCTTCGAAACACTTGCCTTTTCGTGCAAGCATTGCATGGTCAGCACAACATGATAAACGCTACGGTCTTTAGAATTGCTTATGTATGCCTTCTTTACTAAGAGACACACATGCAGAATGTTGACGTGTTGTTATGGTGCCTCAGATATGCGCATCAATTGCTCTTTAATTGACATTCGCACAGGTATGAACGCTGAATTTTGAGCAATATTGGTGGGCACTGCAGATGGGGTCGGCCGTTCGGGGTATCATCTAGTGCCGCTTGGGGTACCATTAAGGGCGGACAAACAGACAAATGTACAGACATACAGGTAGACAGACAGACCAAAATTTTTGCGTCGAAGGTGCCTAAGAAAGACTATTGTCTTTAAAATATTCATGCCATCAAAATAATAGCATGGTGGCAGGTGCTGTCTCTGCAACATACGTGTGTATTGCGGCGAAGAATACAAGCGCTGCGCTGTGAAGCCTGCTACCTGTATCTATTGTCAGAAAGGGGATCAGCACTCTTGTTTCGACAGTGTGAAAGGCCTATGGGTCTCATACATGTATTCTATATTATGGCATGGATGTATGCCTTCAATGTAAAAATGGAGAAACAAATAGGTCAATCCCTATTATACAAATTCTGAAGAGCGTGTAGCTGGCATGTGAAGATTTTATACATGTTTCCAGCAGGTATATTTTGTATTTTAGATTGGTACACTAAACTATTTTGTTTTCCTTCTAGTGCTTGGTGTATCTGGGTTTGATTGCAAATTGATTGATTGATTGACCAACACAGCTTCATCACTATTCTTTTTTGCACTGCACAGCAAGCTCAACTGCATCAGATTCGCTGCTGTGTCTTTGGCCAAAGCTTCCAGAACAGAGACCGCATGGTCACAGTCTTGAAAAGTGTCCTGAGTCAGGATAACTTTGCGAGGTGAGCACGACGTGGCTGTTCTACTCCACGCAGTTAAACTCTGGTAGATCAGCATAATCGCTTGCGAGTAGACTCGCTTGCACTCCCTACGCATTTCAGAAACGGGATCTAAAGAGCTGGTGACAAGAGGTGTTTGCTTGTGTGAGTATAGAGAGGAGGGAATAACAGGTAGTTTAAAAGGATGCGGCTCTCAGCAGAAGTGAATGCTGCATACCATAGGCTTCTGCTGAGGTTTTGTTTATTAACAAAGAGAAATTATATCTCTGCAATTCAACTTAAGTGCAAGCTCATACGGTCTAGACTCGTCATTGCGAGCATTGATATAGTGAATTGGTCGTTTGAGCAAATGAATTATTGGTTGCTGCAAACTAGACGCGAACTTTGGTTGGTCAGGCTTGATTTCAGTGACATTTATTCTTAGTATAACGAAACTAAAGACAGTTGCTGCCATGATAGTCCCCCAAAGAAGAAATACTTCATTTGCAAAAGCAGCAGTTCTGAAGCCTGTATGGATAAATGTTGTAAACTTTATACATATAACTAGGCTTGTGCGCATATTCAATATCACAGTATTTGAATTCGCTTAGATCAGAATTTAAATCGCTGAATATTTCAAAGCATTCGAAATGAACAAATAGGTGCATTTTAGTCTGCGGGTAACCAGCAGAAAGGTAGTTTCACTGCAAGGGAGCAGTGCTATGTCGTGAAAACGCCTATTCATTAAAATTCCGCATTGCAGCAAAGCCCCACTTCATGGTTAAATGAACGTATCACCCTCTCATTGACTCATCATTTTTTACGTTTAAAAGCTTGTTATACCAACTTATGTGATCCGAGCATAGTAAATATTAAATTTAACATACTCTACAGGTTATTTGCATTCTACCAAAAGTCAAATTCTTCTGCTATTCAAAGTTTTCCCTCTTCCTTTAAATGAAAAAAAAAAAAATGGAATCGTCAGAGGTCATATCAATTAAGATATATATATATATATATATATATATACTATTGTGCAGGTAGTTAGGCCATCACACATATGCCCATTTTTTTTTATAATATGTGATATATACACTACTTGAATTCAATATAAAATTATTCGACCAATATCGCTATTTGCTTCAAGCCTAAAACTCACTATTCGCAAAAGCCTACACATTCTTGGCATGTCATCCTCTGTACAGGATCCTCTGCACCCTGGCTGTTGCCCACAGTCAACCTGTACACTTCTAAAAGCACTTGAGCACTACATCCTAATTAACCGCCAGGTTGTATGAGGTGATCCCCTGCTAATATGTTTGCTATATGCTGTAGTTTATAAGCTATAGTCTGGAATTTCAAATTACTGTAAAGGTTCAAGCTAGTGCCCTTTATAATTTTACTGCCAATTTCTCATTTCCCCACTGTACCAGGAAAGCCACCTCTCTCCCGCATGTTTTTGCATTCTGACAATGCATTCGTACGGGCAACACTGTCCTCCTTAAATCCCATTCAATCCACTCCGGCTTAGCGGCCAGATTTCCAAGCGCTTGGGCCTGGAGTGCGTCGTCAAAATCCGATTCCCATTTTTCACCTCGAACTTGGCACACGACAATCGTGACAATTTCCAGGTTTCTGCGAACAAAAGCATGCCCTTTGAGATACATGATTTCAATTCAATTATTTAACTTTTAGATGGTGTTAGCAAAAGTGAAGCCTTTTATATCTAGCAGTTGCATAGGCAAGTACTTTCATGACTTGTTTCCTACATTGTGATCACATTCGTTTTCTTTTGGGTGAGTCATCGTTGTATTGTACCATGCTATGAAGAGAAGGCCACGCCACGGTGGGCTAGTGGCTAAAGTACTCTGCTGCTGACCCGCAGTCCGCGGTATCGAATCTCAACTGCGGCAGCTGTATTTTTGATGGAGGCATTTGATGGAGGATGCATTTTTGATGGAGGTGTACGTTAAAGAACCCCTCGTGGGGGTCGAAATTTCCAGAGCCCTCTGCTACAGCGTCTCTTGTAGTCATATGGTGGCTTTGGAACGTTAAACCCCACAAATAAATCAATGTTATGAAGAAAGCTAAAAGAATAATGAGAAAGTCTATGCCCACCTTTTGTTTCCCCCGGGAAAACATTGCTGCTGTCATTTTAATTATCGGTGCCATTCTGTGAAAGTGTGCCTCCCCCCGCCCCCCCCCGATTGCTAATAAATCTGCACTTGCGGAACAGGAGTGCTTGCTCAGAAAAAAAGGCACTAGATCTTGACCTCCAAAGTAGTGCCAGTGGGAGATTTCTCCTGTGCGTTATTGAACAATAAAAATATGTGATGTGTGCGTTAACTAAATGCGGACTGCGTGTCTCTCTGTTCAAGCGGAGTCTTCTGTCTCTTGTTGCCCATCAGCACTGATTGGTATGTTCAATTAGGAAACACTAGTCTATCACTGCGTACTTTGCGGCTCCTCTGGCTTCTCTACTTTGCAACGCCGTGTTGAGTGCCAGCGTCAACGCCGCCACCAGTGTATGTGTTAGTGCCTGCTGCTTTGCACCTATGCGTGCTTCCCTTTAGCAAGATATGGCGTAATTTTTTTTTGCCAGGATGTGACCATGTTGCGACGTCACGGTGCTGAAGTCATTCGGCAGTAAAACATTTTTAAATGCTACAACGCTCGCTCACAGTCACCTGCTGAGAGCCTAAACCAAACTTGACTGTACAAGAGCTATTATTACGATGAATTGTTTTGAGGTTCTGTGTGGCTTGCCAATATTTCTCTTTTCTTCAGTCGTTTAGAGTAGCAATAGGTGCTTGTGCATCTATGAATAAGTAGCATAGAGTCTCCGTCGTACTTTTTTGTTCCGCAGCACCATGGACGACAATTCGGCGCAGTCCCTGCTGTCGCCAACAGGAACCAGCCTCTTAAGCGGGGCACATCACAGTGGGGAGATGGCTTCGAGGGACATTGGCGGGGAGGCTCACCGCATGCTGCTCGGTATGCCCGCGATACAGTCCCCTCTTACCGTGGCAGGAACAAGGGAGCTCACTTCCAGTCAAGTTCTTTCGGGAGCTACCCGTTCTGTCTCTACTAAGCCATCTCTTTCTGGAACCGTACCAGGGGTGGTACAGTCCCCTTCTTCGGCTGTCTCTTCTGGTTCTGAAGCTCTAAAACCTTCCCTACCCAAATCTGTAGCAACAGCACAACTCTCTTCTAGAGCTATTCCTTCCGAAGCTGTCACTTCTGGAGTTGTCCTCTCTGGATCTGTCACTCTTAGCCCAGCCCCATCTGGATCAGTACCATTGTCACCAGGTCCATCTCGGGCTGTTCATTCCGCAGCTGTCTGCTCCGGTGCCACCCTTTCTAGATCTGCTGCAACCGGATCATCTGGGGCATTACCATCTGTACCATACCTTCTAAGAGCTGTTCCTTCCAGTGCATTCACTTCTGGAGCTGCCCTCCCCTCCAGACCTGTCACTGCTGAACTGGCCTCACATGGTTCTGTACCAGTGGTGCCGGTACCGTCTGGTGTTACCAAATCTGAAACATTCACAATTAGCAGCATTTCCTCACCAGCTTCCTCTTGTGTGCATGTTTCTTCATCATCATCTCCCTTCAAGCTGGTCCCTCCTACTCCTACTGGACGTGCCGTTTCTGGCTCTGTACATTCAGGACCAGTGTCTTCCGAAGCTGGCCCTTCCGCAGGACACGTTCGTGCCACGGCTGCTTTGCATGCCGGATCTGTCAATGCCAGATCTATCCATACTGAATCGGTCCGCACTCGAGTCGTTTCTTCTGGGGCTACTGCTGCAGACTCGGTTCCTCTTCCATGGAGACCTGCTGAGACTGGTGGCACTGAGCCGGACCATTACAAGTCTATCCCGACGAAGTCCCCTGGCACTCCCCGTTCCAAGCGTGCTGCTGCTGCTGCTGCTGCTGAACAGAGTACTCCTAGACTTGGCCCTGCTCCTGCCAAGGTTCACTTTGAGGTGCGTATGTACGTGTTGTGAACAAGAATGGATCAAGGGCACAGTGTAAGGTGTAGCTGTTTTGGTGAAGACACTTCACGTATTGCTTGCAAGGCGTGTTTGGCTACTTGAAGTAACAGTGCCTGTCTGTTGGTTCATTGACGGCAGCGAATGTCTTATCAATATAACGACACAACCTCAATGCAGAAAACATTTTATAGGCAAACACGGTTATATCACATATATAGAATTTTCAGGTATATCGAACGCGCAAGTTATCCCCTTGAAGTTCCTCTGTAAAAGTGTAGAAATTCGCACATTTCTATCAAACGCTATTTTTACCCACCTTCCGATATATCGAACACCACGCGAGCTGGAAAGTGCGCTTCAGCACTCGCGCCCCCTCCCTCGCAATCTACGCTGCAGAGCGGCTCTGCACGGCACCACAGCCAAAAACTCCTAACGCTTGAAAAAAGGGAAGGGCGAGAGGGCTCGAACTGCACAATCTCTAACTTGCTTGCTTGTTTCTCTCTCTCTCTCATGCTTTCTCCGCATACCCGCCTGTTCAGAAAGCAGGAACGAAGGAGCCGACGTCCTCCTTTCGGCTTTTATTTTTTGTGCCTCGCAAGCTGCGAGTGCTTTGTTGCTTCTGCTTACGTGCTACTGCATGTGCAGCATTTCTTTTTTGCGTGCGTGGTGTTCAAAGCCACTGCGAATTTCTTAAATTGTCGACTTCGCAAGGCTCTTGACTTTGCAACGAAGTTGAAGGCTATTCATCGTGCTGAGGTGGACGATAATTGTTCGACCATCGCAAATGACTTCGGGATACCTCGGAGCACTACGAGTACCTTGTTGATAAACGAGGCAGATTTCAAGGCAAATGTGGCGAAGTAGTAACGTCTGGAGCCTGTCATGTGCGTGCTTCTGTCCACGGGAATGTAGAAAAGGCACTCTATGCCTGGTTTTTAGAAATACGCCCGAAGAACATTCCGGTGGATGGCCCGATGCTGATCGCAAAGGCCAAATGGTTTGCCAATGCACTCTGTGAAAGAACTTCACCAACAACAGCGGGTGGCTTTGCATATTAAGCAGCGCTACAACATCGTTTGCGAAACTGATTCTGGCAAAAGCGGAACCGTCAGCTGCCAGGACATCCAGCGGTGGATGACGAAGGAGTTGCCGGAAATCTCCGCAAAGTTTTTCCCACGGAGATTTTTAATGCCTGGCGATACGGGAAGACAAACACAGTGGTCAACTGCTTCCGCAAACAAGCTCTGAGACGGCAAAACTTGTGGAAACCATTGATGTCGACAACAAGCCTATAGACAGGTTTTGCGAGTTGTACCGCTTCCCAGCAGCAGTTCCACACGAATTGTCTGCGGACGATTTCGTGGAAGCGGACTGCAATGTCCAGGCCGACAGCTCATGTGACGAGGAGGATCGTCTGGACAAGGTGCTGGCTACATGCGCGTACTTCGCCACTGAAGTGGTGGCAGCGTTCGACATCATTCGCCGTCGTATCAGCCACATGGAGGGAACCGGGCTGTTGAACCTGGACAGTTTTGATAAGACCGAGACTAGCGTCTTCAACGTTTGAAAAATGAAGAAGCAGGCCAAGATTAACGGTTTTTTTTTTTTTTTCACATAAATAAATCATTCTGTTGTGGTGTGTGTGCGGCATTAGTTGTCATTCTTCAATGCGCCTATTGTAGGTGATGATCCGCTACAGGTAAGCTCTTGGGGCCTCAGTTTTTTATATCGAACTAATTCGCAATCCCTTTCGAGTTTGATATATACATGTTCAACTGTATATACCTACTATTGCGATTTTCACGCTAATGTTATGTAATCACCAACTCATCTATCAAATTCTTATTTTATCTACCGTTGCTGTACCAACTGGCATGGTCAACACTGCACTGATATTCGCCGCATATCGCGTTTTTTGCAGCCACGTTTGCTTACTAGAAAATTCATATTTTCCTTAAAGTGCTGGTTGCTACCGCAGTGCCCCCCCCCCCCCCCCCTTTTTTTTTCTCATGGTACATTGTCCCACCAATAAATATCTACTGCTGTCACTGGGCTTTTGCGTGAGGCATGGTTACTTGATCTGGTTGATTGCATCTCGCTAGTTGCCTCACCTTAGTTAAGTGTATTTATTGCCTACATTGTGATCCAGGGTGACGTGCCAGGGTGGCTTTGCTACAAAGACTCTGAATTAGCGAGCACAAGTGCCAAGGTTTGATCGCCACCCACCATTAAAGTTGCCAGGGTGTTGGTCAGCTAGGGGCGGTTAAATTTTCCCCAAATTTTCTATTTTTTCATGTGTAAAAGTACACACACATATACAAATACGTGTACAAGTTTACACAAGTGGAGGTCGAAATGCTCTCCTCAAAAGAGTTCCGGCCCTGTCACCCACAAGGGCTCCGTTTCCACGGGCACAAGATGTGCAGACACCAGTGCACTAAAATTTTGTGCACATGAAACTTTTCGAAGCATTGGTGTACTTTGTGTACTTCATAGATATTTCATGTGCAAAACCCAAAATTTTAAATAATTAAAATTCTCATGGGGATGTATGCATGATGTGCACTCATTTCGGACCTCTACTTATTAGTAATAGTCAAAATGATTGTGCAAAAGACAAAAGAAACAAAGTGCGTGTATGATTAGGGCACGTAGTGCCACCAGGTGGTGATATTACCTGTGCCTTTCTCCCTCATGTGCCCGCAGCTCTCAGACTCCCAAAAGACGAGCGTTTCCAACCGTTCCTGCGAGACCGGCGGGCGTGGCGAGGTGTTTGCCACAACAATGACCGTGGTGGCGGGCGAGCCTGGCTACGTAGCGACCGTCGCATCCCAGATGGAGGGCAACATCGGCAGCAGAAGCACGTCTCGGCAACGATTTCCGCGCAGTCACAGCGGACCGGCCCTGCTTGTTCAGCACTCCTCCCAGAAAGCGGCAGATAAGGGGCCATGTAAGCGTGCTTGGCCCAAATCTACATGCGATTGTGTGTGTTGGTGTGCCGACACATACGTGCGTGTGTGTACGCGCGTCATAGTTTAAGTGCGGTTTGCGAGATCATGAGATATTGCAGGATCTGAGAAGCTTGCAAAAGATCAGCAGTTGCAGTTTTCATCCTGGAGAAAGGTCAGCTTGAAACAGCATTGTTTGCGATGGTGTGAATCGTTCTAGCTACAGCAATCGCAAGAACGATTTGCGTGTTGAGGTGGACATAGCGCAACATGTGTGTATTCTCTTTGTTTTAATGTGCTCCACACTCACGATTGTCATTGTACAGTGAGTGTTGGTTTTACTCTAATTCTTCTTTCACTGGGCACAAGTTTGTGCAATACGGCACTTCATGTAGTACCGGTTGCGTTCGCTTGTTCACCGTCACCACTGCGTGACAAAAACACAGCTGTTCCTTCTCAAATAAGTTGTGGAAAACGAAGGGAGTGTTATGTCAGGAAGCTTAGTGTGATACTAATATAGGCAGGTCAGCTTCTTGAAACTGGCACAAGTACAGTGCGAATGACTGTTTAATTAATGCCAAGTCTCAAAAACATTTTTTTGAGCTGGTGTTGCCAAGACATGAAGAAACCATTTGAAATTTGTTGTCACATGCGGAAATTTGGGCACAAAATTTATAAATGCAGCTTTCGCATCTATGTCTTTCTCCTATGAATTAACTTGGAATTCTGAAATTGATGAAAGTGTAGTTTCAGAGTGTAACTTATCAATCTAAACTGATTGATTGTTTCTCTTTAGTGTCCCTCTAAACCCAATGGTGAAATGCAATGCGTACTCACTATTAAGAAAATTAACCACTAATCCACGCGGGACACATGCAGAGGTGACGCCTTTAGTTGTCATGAATCACTTTCAGGCGTAGGTTGGCGAACTCGCTCATAAGTCGACTCACTCAGATGAAGCCGTGAGTCTGAGTGAGTCCGTGCTAGTAGTATTTTAGTGAGTAAGAGTTCGAGTGAGTCCAATTAAAGAAAGTTTCTGTGAGTGTGAGTTCAAGTGAGTTCGGCCCACGGAAATTTTGATGAGTTTCAGTCCGAGCGAGTCCAAAGTACGAGAATGTATTACTCGAGTGAATCCGAGTCAGTTCTACTTTTTTTTTTTTGTTTCATGCCAATCTATGCTACAGGCCGACACCCACACGCTTCTAGTTTGAAGTCCCCCACTGCAGTGGGCAGTAATAATCGTATAGTGGTTCTGACGCCCAAGACTCCGGAATTTGGTATCACCTCATCGGTCCACGCTTCTATATTTTTTTTTTTGCGTGCAGCTGTTGTGCATTCATCGACCTTTTCGCTGGACAAGAGTGTCGTGGAGGAAGAGTCCGGCTTTGTCTCGAGGCTGCAACGCATGGGGCCCCTCAACCGTAGCACGCCCATCTCCGAGGCATCGCAGCAGCACACCTTTGTCAGCCAGCCCGCTGTCAACCCTGAGAACTGCGCCGGATGCGACAAACGTATTCGCTTCTACAAGGCCTCCTACCGGTGTGATGTTTGTGGGGTCGTCTGCCACCCGGAGTGCGAGAGCCTCGTGAGTGCAGCCCCATCGAGTACACAAGTACACTCAAACCTTATCATAACGAAGCTGCATATTACACGAAAATAACTTGGTTATAACCTAGAAGTCGTTATACAGGTGTATTCTTAACTATATACCTATTCAAGACTATTTTTAAATTACTTCATTTTAGCCGATACTTCATTATATCCAGATTCGTTATATCGAGGCTTTGAGTGTGTTACAAAGTTGCATATTGTACTAAAAAAGTGCCTTAAATCCAAAAGTTTATTGTAAACGTATATTCCTAACACTATATATACTGCGGGACTATTCTTCATTTACTTCATTGCAACCAATATTTCATTATATTTGGGTTCGTTATATTGAGGTTTAAGTGTACACAGTAATATGCCTTCTTTCTTCCTTTCTATCTTTACAACAGCAGAGCTGTTTATGCCAGCGTTGTAAACATTGGTGTTTGCTGAAAACCGCAGAGTAGCCCCTCAGTCCACGTATCTGTTCGTCCTCTGCTTTATCTACTGCTTTGCTTCGAGAGCACAGGCGTTGATTTGGGCAAGACACCAAATTTGAAAGGCACAGATCTTTTTTTTTTTTTTTGAATAATTATAAATCACATAGTTCAAATGGTATTACGGAAAAAAAATCTGCATTTTTGTCATGACCTAACTTGTGCAACATTTTTGGTTATTGGAACTAGCTGTCTGCAAGTGTCACATTTTTTTATTCGAGGCGAACTAGAAGCAACTTTGAATAGTAGTAAAATTTCAATACCATTAGGGCGCAAGTTATAGATAGTTTCACCAGCGCTCGAAGCTCTTTGGCAACATTGTGCCTTCACCGGAATCGCACCCTAGAAGGCTTCCTGTTTACCGTATTTACTCAAGTAATCCTTCCACTCGCATAACTCTCGCACCCCCCATGTCGCCCAACAAAAATATGATTTCTTTTTTTCTCGAGTAATTATCGCACCCCCGAAAACTGCCGTAATAATGTCGTCTGCTCGTTCCAGCCACTGGATGGATGGATGAATTGATGTGGCTGTACCCTTTAGATCGGGCGGCGGCTAACGCCACCTAGCCGCAATACTTAGCGAACCAACAACCAGATTTATCCTTCTTTTTTTTCCCTTTAAATAGTGAAGTTGAGGACTGGTACTTTGCAGTGATGAGTTTAATTTTCACTCATGCCTTGACTTTAGCCACCTTGACTTTAGCCCTCCCTGTCCCTAAACCCCAGTGCTTTGAAAAACTCTGCGCAAACATCCTGAACTATAGGGTGATGATGATAGCACACACCATTTCAAGCATCAAGCATACTATTATTGCACGAACACTCAATCCAAGCCAAGCCAAAGTGGCAAGTGCGCTTTGCGATGTGTTTTGTATGTTGTGTTGGCAATCTTGCCACGTTATGGTGCGATATTCAAGCTACACGGCTGCTTTCAAGCTGAAAGTGATAGATCGTGATCTAAACAATAGGAACAGGGCCGCCGGTAGGCCTTTCGGAGCATGCGAGTTTTGTGTTCGCTATTGGTGACGACATCTGAAAGCCACCAAGACGCGTTGGGCCTGCCTTGTGCCTAAAACTGGGATTGATGGTAAACTTTATTTTTTCAGAAGGAAACTGCTGATGATTCTGTTAAATAGTTATCAGCCTAATACTGACGTCCTATGCTTATCTTTTGAGGGCTCCTGTTGAGCAACGAACGCTACTCCCACACCAGCAATGCCCACAAGCTTTGAGTATGGTATACTAATTCTCGACTATTTGCTTGCACTTTGTGTCTCAAGTAAATCTTGCCTTGTGTTGAACCTGTGCTTTTATTGTTGAGGTAAGTTTCAATTAGTACTTCTCAAAGCTTGCTGTTAGTTGCTGGTGTGAGAATCCCGATTTGCAGCCACTTCGTTTTCTTTTTCGCTCTGTACGTTCTCGTGGAGAGTTTTCCCCGCGTAATTCTTGCACCCCCCAACTTTGTATCGGTTTTCCGCCAAAAAAAAGTGCGAGGACTATGCGAGTTACCTTGTTACAGCTTGCTGTCCAGCCTGCGTTGCCGGCTCCGGCTGCTTGTGCTTCGATGTTTTCTGCAAATATTCCGGCGAAGCGTTCACAACTTGGGCACTGCTCTGCAGTGCAAGGAGGCAGTCCGCCATCTGGAGCTAATTTGCTATCGCTAGTCTGAACGCTAATTTTTTTTTTTTAGATGTGAAAGTTCAAAGAGCGCCTGTTTGCAGCGATAAGGCGAGGAAGCTAGATTCCCACAAAGAGCACGTACTTTTGTTCTTTCTACTTCATCAGAGGCAAGTAAAACTAACGTGTATTGTAAATGGCACAGAAGCGTAGCTCGGACATTAGTTGAATGTCCTACTACAAGGAACACCGTCACCGTCGTCTTCCACCCGTGGCAGATCAGTGCGGTGACTTCTTAAACAGATGGCAGAACTGCTGACAGCAGAAACTCACCGCAACGGTGTTTACTGTAGTTTAGCCTCACCAGTGACGTGTACTGCTCGAAGAAACACGCGGGACACCAAAGCAGCCACGCTTGACACTGTGCACATCGCAATGGCGTCATTTTTTTGCAAATTATGAGAGCGACGACTGCGCGTGGGTTTGCACCGGTGCGAGCAAATGACTGATTGCCTGTCTGATTGCAGCCTATGGTCATCAGGGCACTCTAGCTAATGTTTTTTTATGTGAGCGGGGCGAGTAAATGTAGACAGGCTAACTTTAAAGTTTGACTCACGAATACAGTCAACTGCCAATTTTTCAGACCCTCTCGGGAGCGAAAAACCGTCCGAAAATTCAGGCAGTCCGAAAAAGTGAATGCAAGCAAACAAAACGCATCATTTTACTGATAATTTTCAATGCAAGCAAAAAAACGCACCATTTTGCTAATATTTCTCAATGCAAGCAAAAAACGCACCATTTTATTGCTATTTCTCGGATAAAGAAGGTCAAGGTCGAAGTACCAGACTTCCGGAACTCTGCCAAAGCATCAGTGGGGTGGCTCTGGAAAGAGCCGTTGAAAAAAATGCATTCAGCCAACAGCGGGTGCCGTCAGGACAGCCAGTGTTAGAGCTGCAGTGGCTTGAAAACTAGTTGATCCTTGTTTGAACGGCGTTTCCCTTGCATGTGATCACATTCGCCTCGATCTGAGCAAGGGTCATGTCACCACTGTACACCGATGACAGTATCATCAATGCTCGCTGCAGACATGTTGACAATTTCTCGCTGCCAGACATGTGGCTGCAGACAAGAACGATCAGCCGTTCTTTGCTATGCTTGCCACCATGGCATGCGTCACCAGCAAAAGCGAGTGTTCTTTCCAGCAGCAGCTTGTAAAACAAGCCAGTTTCGTCGCAGTTGAAATTGTTGTCAGTAGAGAACTGCTGCAACAAAGACTGGAGTTTTCCACTGCGGTACTGCGCAATAACTGCACTGTCGTCGGGGCCGCTTTCGCCACGCATCTGCTTGAACTTGAGGTCATTCCGATGCTTAAAGTTTCTCAGCCATCCATCACTGAACTTAAAATCCGTGATGTCCATTCAAAGCTGAAATTTTCCGCATTTTGTTTCAAGATGCAGCCCGAGACTGGCAACCACTTGGCAATCATTGAATTAAGCCACACGACGAGAGTGCCCTCAAGCTTTGGATGAACACCTTGGCTTGCATTCTCATCTTTTGGGCACCAGACGGTTCTTCGGCCGCTTCCAAGATCTTGTCTTTGTTCCTCAGGAAATCGGAAACTGTTTACTTGGAAATGCCGAGCTCCTTGCTCACGTCAGCCTGCTATCGCCCACTCTTCACTAACTTAATAATGGCGGCTTCCTTCTCCATCGTTAACCGGTGGTACTGTTTTCCGCGCTTCGATGCCATCGGCGAGGACGACGAAGGCAGAGTGGGGGCCATCGCAGGCAAGCGAAATCCTCACGATGTGAACAAAGGAGTTTGCTGACGAGTGTCGAAGCACCTAGGCTTAGCGTTGCAGAGCACAGCTCACACGATCGCACAACCACGCACTAGGCTAGCCAAACACCATGTGGGCTGCGTGAACAAAACGTCACGACGGCAGGCAACAGTGTAAGTAAGTAAGTAGGTGCTCCTAATCCCTTTTGGCACAGGGCAGGCGCCAGCAGCGCCACAGGACAAAGTTGTGCGCTTCAACGCACATCCATACACACGCACACACACATCACCAGTCAGGCGCTTGCCGCGCCACCGTCAAAAAAAAAAAAAACATTTTGTGTTTTACACGCACTTCACGCGAACACGCACTCACACGTTTTCCACTTTACTGTTCGAAGAAAGAAAGGTCTGGTAGTAAATTGCCCGTTTCGCCACCAGGGGAAACGTGCCCTCGGCCAAGTCTATCCAGTGGCGTCGGCGTCGTTTAGATATTTTCTGTCGGCCCTTCGTTGCGCTGGACACTGTCGGGGTGTTTGTCCACCTGCCAGCACAGTCTGTCCCAGAGTTTTAGACGTCGCTTGGCACTCTCGGTGTGTTCGACTCGGGTGTCGACGGGATCATCTGGGAGACCCAGATATTCCGCCAGGTTTATCTTGGGTAGGTCCCTCGCTCCGAGTCGCGGGCAATCCATCAGGATATGTTGGATGGTTTCTTCCGTGGCCCCGCATAGGCGGCACGACGGGTCCGTGTCGAACAGTTCCCAATGCCGCTTCCGCGTGGGCAGTGACCCCGTCCTGGCTTGGAACAGGAGGGCGCTTTCCCGGTCGCCCCTGTAAAATGGCTCACGGTCTGGAGCCTGCTTGTATTCGAGGTATAACTGTAGGCTCCTTTTCTTTGCCGCCGACGTGCGCCACATCTCTGTGCTGGCTTCGGTTATAGTGTTTTTTGTTATTATACGCCATTCTCGTTCCGATTTTGCTTCTTCCAGTTTGTGTTATGGCCGAATTTATTTTCCAGAGAAGCCAGTCGTTTCATCCACTGTGTTTTTATGCCCCTGTATCGGAGGTGTAGGTATATGCGCTGGCTGTAATTTGTTTCTGGTA